ACGGAACCAACCGTGTAAGCTGTATGGTCAACAGTTTCTTATTGGTTTTAACAAAAATGAAGAATATGCTCTTACGATTCCTCAAGGAAGCAACGAAGAAGAAACTATGAAAATTCACTTATATTTTAATATGGAATAAAATATTTTTGAAATGATTAAAGTAGTGATAGAAGATAAAAGTATCGTTTTCCTTTAATATTTTTAGAAAGGTCTTTCAATTCAGGTTAATAGTAAGATAAAAATTTTAAACATTTTCGATGAAAGGTAATGAAATGTCTCGATCAAATTTTTACATCATATTGTTGGTTGGTGAGTAGCAACATGCAATTGACGGTGGTTAACACCTCTCCAATTTCTTATCTATTGTCCGGAAATTTCTCAATATATTTGAAAGAATTTGTTGTGTGGTTGTGTTTGAATTAGTCAAAGGAGTCTGGTGGAAATATGAGAAGATACCCTTCTTCATCATCACTTGATAAAAGTAGTGATTCATGAAAAGTATTGATCAAGAGTTCATCGGATCAAAATTAATTTATTTTGTTATTAACTGAATGATTGTTTTTGTTTTTGTTTTTTTTTTTTTGAACAAAATTTTGCCTTTAAATTTTTTGGGGTGATTATGTATTATTTTATCCTCTCATGTAACAAAGAGGGCGGATTATGACTTCATAATTTTCACTTTGATTTTAATTTTTGCAAGATAATAGGGTTTGTATTTATATGGTATTTTCGTCGCACTTTTGATTCCGAGGACAAAAACTACAATTTTGATTTGAAGGACATGAGATACGATTTTACTTGGAGACCATCTCCTAAAACTTAAGGGTGAAAATTCTATTTTTATTTATGAAAAATCTGGGAAAAATAAGAGGAAAAGGGGCGATACGACAGCATCCATGGGTGTTGTCACGGTGACTGGGGCAATGAGGAAAGGGGGCAATGACATCATGGCGTTGCGGCGGTTTCGACACTTCTCTCTTATCTCGGACAAATGTGTCGACTATTAGGTTTTGTTTAGCATGAACAATGAATTTGCATTTGGGTCGAATCACAAGCTTTTGGGCCAAGTTTGAAGATTTGGGTTGTTGATTACTTTTGGCCAAACTCTGCATTTGGGCTAATTTTAGGTCACCCATGACTATTTTTAAAGTTTGCATTTCATAAATCATAGTTTAAATTTCATATTTCAGATTTTAAGTGATAGTTAGTTATTTAATACGTATTAAATAAATATATTACCAATAACTTACCCTATCCAACTCACCCCACACCACCCCATTCATTAAAAACTGTGATCCATCTCTCGTTCCTCACTCTCTTTTCTATCTCTTCTTTTGAAGAACCAACCACCATTGACCATTCCATTCACTCTATCTTTTTTTCTCTGTTCGGTCGTCAAAAACCAACCACCACAATCACGAGCAGGAACACCAAGCAATGTCGCATAGCGCACATTGGTAATATTTGGGTTTTGGGTGTTTAGGCATGGTTTCTCCTCCTCTGATATGTTTAGTCAAAATTTTGGGGTGATTTTTGTTGGTGGTGGTAGTACAAGTGGTCATGGTGTTGGCAATGGTGGTGCAGCCGTGCAAGTGATGGTGTTTTTTCCCTCTCCGATCTGATCTTATCTGCTTAGTTAGATTTTTGAGGTGATTTTTGTTGGTACTTGTTGGTTGTTTTCAAATACTGGTGGTGATGCTGGCGGTGGTGGTGGTAAGATGGAGCAATGTTAGATTAGTGCAAACAGTGAAATGGGGTTGGAGTGGGATGAAGAACGTTTATGACCAATTATTTGGGTGATTGTGACTAATAAATAATATCTGACCTAAAAATGTAAGATTGTGGATAAATTTGTAATCGTAAAATAACTTACGATTCTATAAAATTTGTTATTTATGATTGATAAATAATACTTGACCTATTAATTTGATAATTTGTTATTGATAAACAAATTGTAACCTATAAAATTTGAGAATTGTGACTTGTATGTAATTGTGATCATAAGGTGTATAATATTGTGACTTTAGTATATTCAATTAATAAAGTATTTTTAATTATCTATTTAATTATGACCTAATTTTTGAAATTTTAAAACAAATTTCTTAATTTTGAAATTGTATATTTCAAACATGTATGGTTCCCATATTCAAATGTTGGGCGATTGGTGCAAACAGAGAGTTGAAGAATTAGGTTGGACTATGGTCCAATTAGCTCTTTAATTAGTTTGTATTTATTGTCTAGATTTTGGACCATAAATTTTCTTTTAGTAGTTATTATTATTATTATTACTAGGTGCAAGCAACGTGCAATGCACATTTGCTTAGTTTATACTTAATATTTTTGTTTAATAATTAATTTGTTATTAATAAAGATGTAATTTTTTTTTGTTAATTAAGGGCATGTCTGAAGCAGATTCGTGACTAAACTAACAAATTTCATCTGGAAACTCAGATTTAGATGACACTATCATACCATGGTCGGAAGCAATGTCAAGGGTTATTGGAACAGTGACAATGCATGCTGAATCATCTGGAACTACCATGCTGAAAGCATCAAAATAAGGAAGAACATCCCCAGTCATGAAAAACAACCCACTTGTAGAATTAAAAATTCCAGTTAATAAGCGCGATCCATGATTACTAAATAGAATTACATGTACAAAAAAACACTGAGCTAGCACATTATGCGAATTGTAACAATAAGAGATGATATCGCGTACAAGGTTGCCTTACAAATCTTATAAGATAACATGATATAATGAGTAACCTTCATTTTGGAAAGCTTGTCTAGCACATTAAGCAATTGCAAGTATTGATCAATGAGCAAAGGAACAGCACCATCATGGTCATCTGCTGCCAAATATGGCAGTGGAGAAACCCTTCCCCATTGGATTAGCCCATGTCACCCTTTCAGAGTCTTCCCTGCATGAAGCAGTAATTTATGTTTTTTGCCCATCGA